GGGGGGGGGGGGGGGGGGGGGGGACACGTGTGTGTGTGTGTGTGTGTGTGTGTGTGTGTGTGGAGGCCAGAAGACAACCTCGAGTGTCATTCCCCCAGCACTGTTCCAGTCCCCCACCCCAACTTTGTCACACAGGCTAGGATGAGCCTTTCAGGGATCCACTCACCCCTCCTTCCTCAGTGCTGTATTACAAGCGTGTGCCACCATGCTGACTTTCTTATTTTAATGTAGAGTCTGAAGATTGAGTTTAGGTCTTCATACTTACAAGACAAACACCTTACTGAGTAAGCTAAGGCTCCCGGTCCTCCCATGGCTACATCTCTCTCATCAGTGTGTGTGAGATCTCATGACAATGACACACCCATACGTAGACAGATGGGGATGTCACCAACAGCATGACGGAAGGTCCTGTGTGTCCAGTGCAGGAGGGAAAATGCCCCCTCCATCCAAGGTAAGAGGGTCCAACATAGCCCTACCTACCCAAGGCAGATCTGTGGAGTAAGGTACCCCTGTTACTGCTGGGCTCACTGAAGCCTTCTCTGTGTTAGTGTGCTAACCTACTTCATTCGGAGATCCATCTTCAGCCCTCTTCCCCACATCTTGGTCTTCAGATAGTCATTGATCACTGAGCCTTCCGGAACCCACCCATGGCCCTGTGCATGTTTCTGTTCTTCACAGCTCTTTATTCAGACAAGGCAACATCGGACATGCCAGTCGGTCTCCATTCTGCTCATAGGCAGGGGTTTTCTAACTACTGTCACTGGGGTTGGCGCTAGGTAGGACTGCAACGCCACTTTGGGTTGGTGCCATCTTGTCATGCAGAAGCGCCTGTAAACATGGCCTGAGATGCTTCTCTTATCGTGAGACAGTCTCAGGCTACTGCGGATGTGGACTAAGGAATCAAGGCCACGAAGCAGGTGTCAGTCTGGAAGGGACGTGGACCACCTGCCGGTCAGCTTGTCCAATGTCTTACATGCCACATGGACAACACACACCACTGTATATACCCAGCCTCGTGGTTGGATAGATCAGATAATACCCAGTTCACTTAATTCTCAGAGAGAGAACAGAAGTTGTCTACTGGAAAATAACATCTGTAGAAGGCCATTTTTACTCTACAACCCTTTAGATCTACACCATGATTTTCCTGTTGGCTCCTGCCAGACACCGTATCTAGCACCCATTTGCTAAAGCTACCCCAGTGTCCTTTGTTGGGCTATAAGTTCCAAATCAGAGCACGTAGAAGTACAGGCTGGGGGACTCCAGAGTCACCAGCTCTCTGCTACCCACTCAGAACTGGGATGCTGACTTGGAGGCTCCACCTGCAAAATCAGCTGATCATACATGCATTTAAGGATGGTGAAAGCCACACCCCTTCCCTTTGAATCTGGGAAATACAAGCTGCCCCCAAGGAGAGGTCAACAAAGAATGAACCCCGTAACCAGCACCTACTGCCAACCTCAATGAAGCATCTTGGAAGGGGCTTTCCCAGCCTCAGCTGAGTTTAGCCCCTGTGAAGCAGAAACAAGGTGTCCCTGACAACCCCTGCTCAGATTTCAGATTCCTGAGGAGAATAAATGGTGGCCGTTGTTTGAAGCCACGTACATTTGGGTGTGGTTTGTTATGCAGCAATAGGTACCCGGAACATACAGAAACCAGTGGGATTGAGTCCAAAGATCAGAGAAGACCGGGGAGGCTTTCGCCGGTGACCCCTGTCGACAGGGACACAGGACTGGGTAAGGAAAGTTCTGATGGTCACAAGAGAGATGGTGCAAGGGTTGTGGGGAGTGAGGGATGCTGTGGATATTTGGCTCACAGCGTGCTGGACTCAGGTCTGCTCACTCCAGCCAGAATCTTGGCTGGGAAGGACAGAGCTTTTCACGTCCCTTGTGACCCGTCTCTATCACACACATGCTGGACAAGCACTCCACCACTGAGCGACGTCCTCAGACCTTTTTTTAAAATTTTTGAAATGGGATCTATGTAGCCCAGATTGGCGTCAGATTAAAAACTCTTCCTGCCTCAGCCAACCTCTCAAGTAGCTGAAACCATAGGCATTTGCCACCACACCCCATTGTAATTTCTTTTCAAAAGCGGAATAAAAAGATAGAAAATGGATGTAAAATTCTTTGGTGGTTGTGGTGAATAGGGGGATCAAAGGTTGGGCCGCGCTGGAGAAGTGTGGAGAAGCCTAATGAGACACGGGTGTGTAGGTGGAAGACTGCATACTGCATTTGCGTGCTGACAGGAATGGCTCAGCCCACCACACGAGGATTACACTCAAGGTAAGGTATAAAAGGGTTTGCAAACTGGCCATGGTGGCAAAGGCTAGAATCTTATCTTAGCACTGAGAAGACTGAGGTAGAAAGTTCACAGGTTCAAGGCCAGTCTGACCTACATAGCAAGTCCAAGGCTAGCCTGGGCTACACAAGTCTCAAAACTACTGAATGAGGAAAGAAAAACTTCAACCATCCCTCAGATTCAGACTTTAGAAATGAACCATCACACTTTGAGGGTCTAGGGAGAGAGTGCTCCTCAGCTGCAGAACTCGAAGCCTTCTGTGAACTCATGTTCCTTTCTGGAATAGTCTCTATTCTTGGACTTCCCTGTCTTCTCAGTCTTCCCCAACCAGGGATAGCTATACTGCTCTATCCTTACTTTCCCCTTGCATTTGGCCTTGTGTGGCAAAAACAATGGAGATTGCGACCTTGGTTGTTTTTTTTTGGGGGGGGTGTTTTCTTTTGGGGGA